CAAAAAGTTTTAGCTTCTACCACTGCTAAATATCCTATTACTCGAGCTGAAGTAAAAGTTTTAACAATTCCATCGGGTGTTCAAGGAAAAACTCTTGATAATATATTTTTAGGGCAGGTACCCAAAAGATGTATAATTGGATTTGTGAACAATTCTGCATTTAATGGTTCCCTTACTAAAAATCCATTTAACTTTGAAAACTATGGTATTAATTCTTTCAGCTTATATATTGATGGTCAACAAATACCTTCAAAAGCTTTGCAACCATCTTTTAATAATAGCATATTTACATCAGCATATCATACTCTATTCTCGGGAACTGGTATTCACTTTCTTAATGAAGGAAATGGAATCTCTTGTGAACAGTATGCCAAAGGTTTACTGTCTATTAGCATTTGACTTAACTCCTGATTTATCAGCCAACTCATCAGCTCATTGGAATCTCATAAAGCATGGTAGTGTAAGATTAGAAGTACGATTTGAATCCTCACTAATACAAACAATTAACTGTATAGTTTATGCTGAGTTTGATAATATTATTGAGATAGATAAAAACAGAAATGTTACTGTAGACTATAGTAGTTAAGGTTATAATATGTGTTGTGTGTTAGATTTTATGAGTTATGTGTAATGCATTTTGTGTGTATGTAACTATGTGAAACATTATAAAATTAAATAAAACAAATTGTATGCAATATATTATTTTTTATTTCTTTATAAATATTCTATTTAATCTAATACAAAACTCTGTTCGAGATTAAATTTTACATAAGCACACTGACTAAACCACTGAACGTGCTGCTGCCAAGGATCATCATCATCTTCCCAATCTTTTAAGCCACCACCACAATGGAAACACTTGGTCCTGTCTGCATGGCCAGTATAAAAGAAACCGGCTTCTGCAAGATCTTCAGGTTTCTGTCGCATAACGAGAGGCCAGTTTTCGAAACTGAGCAACCGGCTAGATTTTGAACCGAAGAATGGATATTCAGCTCTTGAGTACTGCATATTCTCGTTTTCATCTCCACTCAGTGTTGTAGTTTTGTTCTTCAATGATGTGTTCTGTACACGTATGCCACACTCATCTCTTTCTTCTGCTCTTGTCTTCCTGTAATTTAAGTAAACAGAATCACATTCACTAATGATCAGCTAATGACTGTCATTGTTAAAAAAGTATTTTTTAACTTTTTCACTTTCTGCTATTGTCTTTGTAATATTGTATACGAGGGCGTTTGTGTTGTCGTAGATGTTATCCTTATTAGTCTTTACGTGATATTTAATCCTCGTGGAAGCATGTTTCCAATGATCAGTAGTTGGAATCTTGGATAGCTTCTTTATATCGTACATTTCAATTTTGATGAGATGCGTCGCTTGGTCTCCGTCGTCAGAATTAGTAGAAATGTATGATACACCATCTCTAGCGGCTCGTGCTACGGTTGATGATAACAGCTTCCTCTTTTTTATTTTTGATTCAGCTTCAAAAAAATGATCAATCGATTGCGATTTTCTTTTTCCACCATCGCATGTGTTATTATTAATGACGATGTCATCACTCTCTTCTTGAGAGGAGAGTGGCGAGTAGTAATACTGTTTATAGGTATTTTCATCGAAGCTCAATGATTTCTGCAACAACACAGTTATCATGTTAATATCAATTTGTTAACACTTAATCATAAAAGTTAAAAAAGCTAAAGTTACAACCTATTAAAGTCCACTGCTGAACATAGGCCTCCTCTCATTTCTGAGAGGGTTTTAGGGCTAGGAAATGTTCGCTGCGATACCTCAATGCGTGTTGGCAAACTTCACATGCCTTCGAAATTTTCTCAGACATGCATTCCTCACGATGTTTTCCTTCACCGCTGAGCACGTGGTAAATCAGCACTTAAAATTGTAATTAACAATTTAATTGGTGCCGGCGGGGATCGAACCCGGGACGTGTACTATGAAGTTTACATTTTGCGCTAACCATCTGAGCTACCACGGCTTAACCATATACACACACATAATATTTAAATATAATTTGTTAACACTAAATCATACACACGTAAGAAAATAACAGAAAGAAAAGTAAGTTTGTCAATAGAATAAACACTTACATCCATGGCCTTTGATGCGTTGAAGTAACACAAACGTAGTATTGATAGATCCACTGCGGTCAAACGACCATACACTAACTCCATGACTGCAGTTGCTTGGTCTTATATAGTACCAGTGAGTAATAATTCTAATCTAAAGAATTTCTGCAGTAGAATTGATAGTATCTTTATGCGTCAACAAGCTTACCTTACATTCTGTTGGTTATCTCTACATTCCTACGTCCTTCCTGTCATGTCTTGTTCAGTGTATTGGTGACTCAAATACGTTTTGTATAACACAAAGAAAGCAATTTAATATTTAGATATCACTATAATTGATCATTCCTATATTAGTCATTGAGTAGATTGGTACTGTAATAATCTACTAATAGCAGTAATATTATGGATACACTAGATGTACAACAACATCTGAAAAAGATTCACCCCACTCTAGAAAATAATGTTTATGCTGCCAATAAACTACCCATGTACACCCACGTACCAACGTATATAATATGCAATTTGGATACAGATGATAAACCAGGGTCACATTGGGTATCTTTATATATCGATACGAATGACGTCGGTCAATATTTTGATTCATTCGGACGGGCACCTGTACGATATCATCTAGAGTTTTTTAAAAGAAATTGTAAAAGATGGAACTGGAATGTTGATAGGATTCAGAATGAGTGGACTTCAGTTTGTGGCGAATATTGCTTAATGTATTTGCTATATAAGTTTCAGGGATGTTCAATACATAGTTTTACGAGTATATTTACAGAGAACACATTGTACAACGATATTTTAGTGGATGAGATGTTTCGCTCCTATTTTATAGATAATAAGTAATAAGATTTTGTATTTCATAAATAAAAATTTTAACAAAATTAGGTAATGTGTTTTATTGATGATTCAGATTAGTGTTGTAGATAGGAACAAAGGAGTATAATACAATAGCATAAGCCGACCCACACGCTGGAAGAATAATAGATAATAACGGTAGTCAATCAACAATAGATAAGTAGATAAGGACAATGGAGCGCTAATGACGGTTGAGGCTCGTAGCGGATATCAATTAGATAAGATTTAATTGATCTGCACATCTCCGGAACCGTGCATCCTACGCATTTTTTTTTTTTTAGGATTGTGAGTCGACGAGCGTCGTGCGCCAGAACTGGTACAACCTTTCTACAAGTGCGCCAGAACTGGTACAACGTAACTACTCTTGAGTCATTGAGTTCATTTTCTCCCGCATCAATATCTAAGTGTTATTAATTATAAATGCTCCCATTTAGCAGTCTATTATGTCATGCGTATAAATCTTAATTCTTTTGAAATAAAATTTCCCCTTCGATGAGTGTAGGATCAAATAAAGAGAATTATTTCTTATTTTAAATTTCAAAAACATTATTCCTGCCTTTGTTTTATTAACTTAATTATTGCTTACTTTGGTGTTAATTGTAAATTGATCATAGATAACATTGAATCATGTTTGTTAAAAATCTTTTATTATATATTTGTTAATTACTGCCAGAGTAGCATTTTTGCAAAATCTTTAAAAAATTAATACCTTATAAATAATAAAAAATCAATAAAAAATGAGCTTTATCTCCTTTATCATCAAACCAAAATATGTACATGGTCATATATTTCACTCTTAACATCATCAGTCTTTAAAACCTATGACAGTTGCAATGTAATATGTAGTGATGGAAACACTAGCATCTCATCAAGCATTAAGAAGTACAAGAACTTTGCCATACTCAAGTTTAGTTAGGTTTACTTAGTATTTATTTAAGAACATTTTTAATGTCCACTTGGTTTAATTAGTATTTATTTAAGAACATTTTTAATTTCCGTCGTGAGTACAAAGTGAACAATTTCTTTAAGAATCTATATCTTTTAAGGCTTACATATTGAAAGTGCTAAACAATTTGTCTTCAAAATTCTATCATTTTTCACGACATTCATATTATACTGTACTAACTGCGTATTCAGTAGACATGGGACGAGTAATCGGTTTGGATTCGGTACTCTTTTTTTAAGGTTCGGCCGAACACCGAGTATTAACGGCCGCTGGAATATCGAGTACTCGGCCTTAATTATATCCAGTAAGCCGTTGGTCTTGCGCTTGATCTCTCTCCGGTCGTGTCGGTTTACCATCCCACCAGAATAGGCGAGTGATGGAATAGGGAGTGCACCTGTGTGCGCCGATGGTTTGTCTCCGTTGAGGCTGGCCGCCGTGACCGAAATTCAGTCTTGAGGACATTATTATTATTAAATTACAGTCACTATATCTTTAACTTATCACAAACTTACTGTTATAGTAATAGAATATATTTGGCATAGATGATATAATATGTTATAGGAACACGTGAATAAATAAGTTTTTATAATTGCATTAATATCTAACTTCTATAATCACCTACTATTTTTTATATCAGCCTTATCTTCTGACGTATCCATAAGAAAGGTAATTGACAATTACCAATTTGTCTTAAAATCAATTTTTTATTAACCCTTAAAGGCTACTACGGTGTTTTTACATCCGAGTGACTTAATTTTGTACCTGTATCTTTTTCAGTTTTAACGCAGCGTCTTGAGATTTCGTGTATTCTCGTATATCGACACTAGCCCTCGAGGACGCGGGGAGTGGTTACGCGCGAGCGCCCGTCCCGAGATACACTCGTGACCCGGTGTTTTTTCACCCATTGTAGTCATAGTGGGTTACAACTTAGGTAATTAACTTTTTATGTTTTATTTTTAGTACGTGTGTACTAGTGTATAGAATATGATATTCGTGTGTGTATTATTATGTGTATTGTAATTATTATTTTTATTTGATGTGTTATTGTATTTAAATGTATATTATGATATTTTTATCTCAGATTATACAGCAACTGAGGGAACAAGCAATAGAAGATGCACTGCTGGCATCGGATAAAGAGTCGGCAGAAGAGGAGGACTCTAGAAATGGATATTCATGAAGAAGATGCCCAAAGTGTCGACGATGACACTACTTCTAATATATCAGAAGCTCAGTTGGAGATGGAAGTTGATGAGTCTCCTTCTCCACTGGATGGAAGACAAGTAAAATTAGGTAATACACATTTTACTTGTATTGGAAACATGTTGTTGCCCCAAAAAAGAGTTTTTGAGGGCAAGGAAAAGCGAGGATACCCTACCTACAAATGGAGTACTAAGCCACCGCCTCCTCAACGAACTCCTGGTAGGAATATAGTCCCATATTGACCAGGTCCTGTGGATGTTTCTAAAGAAGAGACTACAGAACTGGATGCGTTTGAATTGTATTTCGATAAAAAAATTATTGATACTATACTTGTTCATTCTAATCAGGAAATCGCTAAACAAAAAGCAAATTATGGTCCGCAAACTTTATATACAAAAGATGTTGACATCTCAGAGCTGAAAGCCTTTTTTGGCCTTTTGTATCTAACTGCAGTAAAGAAAGATTACAGAGTATCAACTAATTTTTTGTGGGGCATCTCTGGAAATTTACTCAGCGACCATGTCAAAAGAGCGTTACAAATTTCTAACCAGTTGTTTAAGATTTGATGACCGTATGACCAGGGACATCAGAAAAAGTACAGATGAATTTGCACATATCCATGATATTTGGGAACTGTTTATGAAAAATTGCGCTGATCTGTATCGTCCATCCGTAAATTGTACTATTGATGAACAACTTATGGGTTTCAGAGGACGATGCAAATTTCGAATCTATATTCCTAGCAAACCAGATAAGTATGGTCTGAAACTGGTCCTAATGTGTGATTCTTATGATCGGTACGTGATATCTGGAACGCCCTATCTAGGAAAAGGGACGCCAAATGGAAGCAAACCTCTTGCAGAGTATTATGTTGAAAATTTGACAAAATCTGTTCATGGTACAAATATAAACATAACCTGTGACAACTGGTTCACATCTGTACCTATGGCAAATAATATGCTGAATAAATACAAACTAACAACGGTTGGTACCACGCGCAAGAACAAAGTGGAGATACCGCAAGACGAAGAATCGTCCCATAGGAAGTTCAGTGTTTCTATACAATACACATGATAAACATCAGCTCTCTACGTATTGTACAAAAAAAAATAAGATTGTGATACTTTTGTCGAATATGCACCATAAATCAGCAATATCAGAAACAAGTGGGAAGCCAGAGGTTATTGAATACTATAATTCTACTAAAGCAGGAGTGGATGCTGTTGATCAGGTGTGTCATAGCTACATTTGTTCGAGACGAACAAAAAGATGGCCCTTGTCTATTTTTACAACATGTTGGATGTAGCAGGAATAAATTCTCACACGATTCTCAATAACAACAACAATAGGAATGGCAAAAAACCAGGAATCTCGAGCCGAATTCCTATACAAGTTGTCACTGGATCTAATGTTACCATACATAAAAGATAGACTCAAAATTCCAAACTGGCACAAGTACGGCATACTATACTAAGTTTGTGTAGTTGTGAGAGTTGTCAAATTAAAATGATCTTTAGGATAAAATACACAAGACATGCATTTGTATGGTCATATTATATTTAGTTTAGACAACTTTATGTTTATGTTTTTTATATTTTTGATGGAAAGTTTAGAATTTGCTTCTTTCTAAAACGAAACAATTACGCACTTGGTCTTGGTGGCTCGTGCTTGTGCCGTTCGCTAAGATAATAATTATTATAATAAAAATTAAATAGATTAATTTTTTGACGTTGCATTTGTGCTAGTGTGTAGTAGTTGTAATTCAGACAATTATGTGTAAAGTGTAAATACAATAGAACATAGTATAGTATACCTCAAAACCTGAAAACTAAGTTGTACAACCAGTGCGTGTTGCCAGTGATGACATATGGAACTGAGACGTGGTCCTTCACTGCTGGCCATATGAGGACGCTCAAAGTCGCTCAGCGAGCTATGGGGAGGGCTATGCTCGGGGTTTCTCTGCATGAAAACTTAGAAATGAGGATATCCGCAGTAAAACTAGAGTGACCGACATAGCCCAACGGATTAGTAAGCTGAAGTGGCAATGGGCCGGCCATATAGCTCGAAGAACCGACAACCGTTGGGTAAAAAAGGTTCTCGAGTGGCAGCCTCGTACCGGTAGATGAAGTGTAGGGTGACCCCCACTAGATGGAGTGACGACCTGGTAAGACACGCAGGAAGTCGATGGATGCAGGTGGCTCAGGACCGTGCTTTGTGGTACACCTTGGGGGAGGCCTATGTTCAGCAGTGGACTTGTGAAGGGCTTTAATGATGATGATGATGATGATAGTATAGTTTAAGTTGATTTTGACCTTTAATCATTTTTTGAATATAGATTTTCAAAATGTCGCGTAAGGCTAGTGAAATATGGTCTCACTTCGATAAAAATGATAATTCCGACCACTTCTTCCACCGGAGCCAAATCAGTGGCTAGTGTAAATCAGATAAACCTACGGTTAATAGAGTTGAATTTTGAAATTGAATTGAGAATTCGTACTTAAAACTCTGCTAGTCCTAAGCCTAGTTAAGCATGAAAGAAAACCGCCAACTTATATAATTGTAAACTAACTAAAACAATTTTCTATAAATGTAGATAAATTATGTTTACTTCTTAGGAATACACTTTAATTACTTACAGACTTTGAAATCAAACTCTGATCCTACGTCTCAATTTGAAAAAAAAAAAGACGTGTGGCACTCGGGGACTGCCGCGGTAAAGCTATTGCATAGCATTTTGTATCAACTTATGCAAATATAATTATTAATATAAGGACTACGTAAATATTCAGTACAGCAAGATTGGAAGAAAAATGACGTCTAAATATTTTTTCATATTTAGTAAACGAATAACTAGTCGGTAAATTTATCATGATATATATCTTTTTTTTTCTCCGGAGACTAAAATGATATTGCTTTTTTTCGTAACTGCAGATTCTGTGGATTTATTTCATTATTTTGAACAATATACGAAATTTAAGTGACTAAAATTAAATCTAATCTGAACCAGAATCATAAAAACTGTATTATTCGTGTTAAACGAATCTAATAAATATCTGTTATATTTGTCTCCTGCGAAAAAAACAGACTATATGAATCTATCGAATACCAACATAAACAAAATATCACCTATAAATAAAATATTACAAAGCGGAATAACTAATAAGAGTGGCAACGTCGCACTATACAAAGGAATTGCGTGGGTGGCACAAGTCGCGAAAAAAGCACGTTGTCTCACCTGGCATCGTGCCACTCGTACTAAATTATTAGGCGCTGCGTTATCGCTTTATACTATACCTCTATGGCTCTATAGATACCTAATATAGATTGCTTATTTTATTATGTTTAGTTTTCCCCGGGTGGTCATGCAGCGATCACTCAAAAGTTCACGACGCCGAAGTATGAACTGGAACAGTCATCGCAGTTTATATCCGTACTAGCTGTTGCCAGCGGCTTCAAACGCGTGAACTCGAAAATTATCCCACAGGAACGAAATACCTGAAATGAAATGTGTTATTCCAGACTAGGTATAACCTATCTCTGAGCTAAATATCATCCAGATCCCTTCAGCTGTTCTGGCGTGATTGAGTAACATACATCTATCCATCCAAACTTTCGCATTTATAATATTTAGATAATAATTGTAATTAGTTCTGCCTACCTATACCACCGACGTACTTAGGCAGGTAGGTAGGCAGTTTACATTTTAGTGTCTACGACACAGCGACAGTTTGTCAAATTTTGTTGTATAGTAGGTTATGGGTATTTAGGTAATAACAGTAGGTAGGTACCTATCCACCGAACCGTCAACGCCGCGCAAGTGATTCTTGTCCCACCTGTCCGCGCAGTAACTTTTTTTATGACAGCGCGATACTGTCGCAACAAAAACGATTACTACTGAAAAACTAATATAGGTACCTACCTAATATTTAAATAAAAATATTCTCAAAAAGCTCAACGAATTCAGAATTTAATTTTGTTAAAAGAAAATTGGTCAAATGAAAAATAAAGGATGAAAATAAAGCATATGGGGATATAAAAATAAATCGTATTTATTTTTTATTTCGAGTTTTACAAGAAAAGTATAATATTTACTGGAGACAATTATTTTATTATTATAATAGTACATGATATTTCCTTTAAAATGACACCAATATGAATAATATCTTATATCTATATCTACAAATAAATAAAATTGAAGTGTCTGTTTGTAATGTTAAAACAACAGCTTTTTATTAAATGCATATGAAAGTACTAGTAACAAAAACACAATTTTTAAAAATTTTATCTGTCTGTCGGTCTGTCTGTTTGTCTGTTTGTTCCAGCTAATCTCCGAAACAGCTGGATCTATTTTGACGGGACTTTCACTGGCAGATAGCTGATGATATAAGGAATAACTTGAACTACTTTTGTTTTAGAAAAAGAATTAGGGTTCCGCGCAAAAAAATTAAAACCCATAAATCCATATTCCACGCGGGCGAGATCGCGGGGAACAACTAGTACTCAATATAGATAAATGTATACTTATTTTTATTTATTTATTATTTTAATAAATAAATAAAAATAAGTATTAATAATTTCTAGACCCATCTCAACAGATATTTCGTTAATAAATTGCTATCAATACTGAAGCATTCTTTTATATTTAGCATCCATTTAACACAAAAAAACTGATAAGAATACTTTTTTAAACAACATATAATCAATAAACGATAATCGCGTATAGTGAATTTCGAGGTAAATTATTATATGTAAACGTTTTTGAATCGTCGTAATGATACATATTTCCAAAAGAAAATATCTTCACAATTAATTTGATGTAAAATAACATTAGAAATAACGTATAAAAACGGAGAAATTATCAAATTTTTGATCGAGTTCCTAACCAGTACACAAAAAAAATGGCGAATAGTCATTTTCACATTTTTTAGAAATAACGTATAAAAACAGAAAAATTATCAAATTTTTGATCGAGTTCCTAACCAGTACACAAACAAAAATGGCGAAATGTCATTTTCACATTTTTTTCTATATAGTTATTTGTTACAGAGTACACAGATAAAATTCACTCTCATAGATGACAAATTTCAAACACCACAATCTCTAATTTTTTACTCTGCTATCTTCAGCGCTGTACACGAACGGAACGATGTCGTTGAGAGCCGTGGTTGCTCACATGGTTAGCGCTCGTTATAAGTATCACAGTACGGGAGCAACCCGGGTTCGATCCCCGCTGGCACCAATG